TGAAAACACCTCTCGCCTCCTTGCTTCTCTCACGTTTTACCGAAGTGTCCACAGAGCCGTTAGCCGCAGATATTTCCATGGGTTGCGTTTTTGCGTCATGGACGTGAGCTAGCGGCGGTTCCCCAAGGTGAACCTGCTGCTGCCGCGGGGATTGCATTAGGGGGTTTGTGTTTGAGTCGAAGGTATTGGCCTGGATTGCAGCTTGAGGCACTTGACGTTGAGCATCATGTTGCAGCTGTTGACCTACTGTGGAAATGAACAGTTATTAGAAACTGAAGTACTCCGTTTACAATTTCCATTAATTCAAGAAGGTAACCACACATCCGACTACGATAAACGCAGAACAGCGTGCCGGCTATGTAGCGGCCAGTGCAGCATACTACCACGCACAAGACCTGCTGCACGCGCAACTAATTCTCACTAACAAACCATTCACGCCAAGTCATGACTTGCAGCGAGACAGAGGAAAAGGGACATTTGTGAACATTGCACTATTCGGTCAGCCTTATTTCGTGTGACTCTTGTTTTCATTACTGCACGAGGCTCAACGGCGTACAGCCTGACAACCCATTGCAGTTCTTCTTCCAGACAGTCAACGGCAGAGAACATGAGAACAAAGGGCTTAATGCTCAAGTTCGCAATTAGCTATGTCCTTCCATCTCTAGAAACTACTCATTTGAACGGCGAGATCAAGTCAAAGTGAATGTTTCGTAGTCTCATTTAAAAAATTGAGACAACTGTCAATATCAGTGTGGGGACATTTTTCGAGGCCATGAAACTACAAATATGAGCAGTAGGAAAGGAGCATGAATTGGATGGCACATGCAAGTTTGCAATGTAACCAGCGAGAAGAATGCATGAAGGTGTCTCACCAGTAGGCGTTGCGAGCGATTCTCGGCGAATGCTTAGATCCAGTCGAGCGTTGTCCAGGTCACTACAAAGTCCACTGTCGTGCCCCATTTCTGCTAAGCTCCTGATATTCCTTAAGTACTCCTCTCGAATGGAGAGAGTAAACTCTGTGAGTACCCTAGCTAAAGCGAATCCGACGGTGACAATAACTCTGATTGTGGAATCACTCCATGATGCCGTGTCCTCGATCTTGCTTGTCACCTCATTCATTGCTTTGTCGGTCTCCAGTGTATTCGTCGTCTCATTGGAACAACTATCATTGACTGTGACGGCACTGCAAGACGGCGTGGACTCGGTCGTGCTTGTCCGCTCATTCTGTCCTCCCTCTGACTCCATTCTGACGCCCTGATCGCAATTTCGTCTAATGACAGTAAAACCAACCATTTATATGCTACGCAGGTTTGAACAACGATCAAACTCAACTAGTGAGCTGATTCGTTGAGAGAGCAGTAATGAGCGAAGTTCACGCTCCACCTCTCACCCCTTCAACCAATCCCTCGATCATGCGTGATGGATGAAGCGCGAAGGGAAGAATAACACCTCAACCGGTGGATTAGGCGAAGAGTTGTGAGATTAATTTGCGCCCCTGTGTACGACTTGTCTAGCTGTGAAATAAAGAGTTGCTTAACAGCCCAGCAATTTGGCCATCGACTCAGCATCACACTAACAATTTCAGTCATAAGTAGACATTAGTGGTAGAAGTTGGCTTGCCTTGCGTTGAGTGCGCAGATTGTGTAACGTAGGTCTCAAATAGGTTCATCAGCTGTGGGCTGGAATGAATGCGTGGCTTCGCAAGATAGAGGACCAACAAAAACGACATTGAGGATGACGCAATTGGTGCAGATTGTATATACTCTAGCCTAAAATTGTATTGAATGTAGAAATGTTTTGGTTGTTAGAGGCATAGTTACAGAACGCCTAATGACATATCGACGTGAGTTAGGCAACCTCTCAAAATAGCGAAATTTGCGATGGTAACTGACAAAATGCACATCTGATGCTGCTGAATTTCATGCGAACTGCATTACGGAGAGAGGTAATTAAATCCCAATGGACATCAATGTGCAGTATTCCTAGTACCGATCGCATCGACATGCCGCGAGACCAACAGCAATTAAAATTTATCAAATTTCTGCAAAAAAAAGCATTGTGGCCAGTTGATTCTTTATTCTGACTCTAAACACTACCCTAAAATGCTTGTTATGGAAATGCAAACGAGGCTATGAAGAAGGCAGCTGAGGCGGCAAATATCATTTCCAGTGGCTACGAGTGTGAGCAGCATGCAGCTCTGTGTGGTTAGTCACTCCGAAAGGTGTGGTGATCAGTGATGTGCACCCTGCGTGAAAGTGATTCCTGTGCTGCCCACATTCACCATGTCAGGGCTCGGATAGGTCTCATTAGAGAAAATAAGTCTTAGGAGATAGGGGACGACTCCCATGTTATGGAACTGCCCATGCTGAATCCCCGTGTCAAAACTCTGCAATTTACTCCTTTGAATGCTCTATGTCACACTGTCCGCTCAAGGGAAACTTGCAAGCTGCCTTCAGCGCTTAACCCGATCCCATTGCAGTCTTATGCATCTCAATGTGTGAGTCACGATTAACTCCGCAACCTTCAATGACTGTGTTTATTTTGTAATACGTGGGCAGCCAAGCGGGATAAATTAAGTGGCATAGTCGGATTTGGCAGTTTTGTGCTGGACATGAGGGTGTGAAACAATTCATACCACTCTGACCTCGCTGAAGAAACAAAAACGCAGCATCTCTGGCCTAAGGCTGATCATTAGGAATCCTGCTTGCTGAAGAACCTGTCCAGGTTCTTTAGCGCAGTTACTAGGTGTGTTTGCTCTACGTGCTGTTCCCATTTCCATAATCTCATCCGTAACACCCGCCATCCGTCTTCCTTCCATCAATGAGGGCCAGTTTCGCTCATGGATTCAGCCTTGGTGAAGAGTAATGCTTAGTCAATATTGATCTCCTGGTTGAGTAACTGAGGACAAATCCATCCAGTGTTTGCCAAACATTCATGGACGACGCGGCCACAGTAATCAGGGATTAACATGAACACAGCTCAGAGACTTCGACGCCTAAGTGAATACAGGCGAGCAGTCGCTTCGTCAAAGACGATTAAAACATAATCATTGGCCTACATTGAGTTGGGACTGAGTGAGGTTTGCACACATTAGGGGTTATGCCAAGTGGAAATGTGAAAAACTGAGTGGCTTAATTCAACCCACTCTTACACACCAAAACAAAAGCCTCCAAACTTGGTTTATTTTGTCGATTTCATGCAGATAAAGCATTGTGGACAGTGGACTCATTATTTCTGCCTGTGGATGGGTGTTTTAAAGAAACAACCTGCATGAGAATTGCGGACTCTACAAGTCAAATTCAACATTTTGATCTGACTTCCTAACGCATTTTAACGCCTAGGTGCCGCTATGCCAACGTGCTATTTAATGGTTAGCACTAAGATTATCTTCCGTGAAAATAAAACGTCGAAATGTGCGAATTAGTGGGATTTGGAAATGCGAAACCTGTTTCGGGCAGGTTCAATAACAGGGGAGTAGAGTTAACACCCCTTGCTTGAAATATACTAGGTGACAACCACGACACTAAAATCGTGCAAGTGAAGTTAACAACAAGACTGATCATGACAGGGATTCCTAAGACAAATCGGCTTAGAGGTCACAGAAGTTGTTCCAGGTTCTGCAGCGCAGTCATGGCGCTCTCTATTGTTTCCGATCCCAAGATCCAGCAGAAAACTGCTGAAACCGATTATGTTACTTAATGAAATACGGTCGAGTCCCACGTATGAAAAGGCAGTACCGATTCCGTTTTATAATAACTGGGCTCCACAACGCTAAGTAAAAAGCGCATTTATCAATGCAGAACAGTCCATGTTGAAAGCTAAAAGAGGAATCTGATTTGTGCTCAGTAGAGGACGATTAGTAAACCTAATAAATATAGGCCACTCAAACGGGCACATCTGAGCTAATCTTATTTGCACTATTAATCTGCTCCACATCGCCCATCATTACTGTTTACTGGCAGGATAATTCACCCCATAATCACAGGTAGGTTGCACATTGGACACCAGTGTACTGGCTCAAAATTAATGGCAAGTGGGCCACATGCTATAGTCATCAATGTTTGTACACATCCTGCTAATCGGTAACAATTTCAGCAAACTGGCTTAATCATATCGCTGTTGTGTATTTGCACCATGACTTGGTCAATCAGTAGAGTTCCATTCTAGCCAGTGGACTAAAATAAACGGGTTGTGTCTTGACTATTTCGCACACTGGCAGTATTTACTGACTAAATTGACTGACAGGGATTTTGATGCTTGGATCTGTCGAGTTCTTTTTGGAATAAACATTGGCGGACAAGGTTGCGAAGCAATCCTGACTCAAAAAGTAAGTCGCACAAGACTGGATTCGATTCCGGTTAAGCGATGTGGTCACCTTGCAATGTTGCGTTGAACGGTTTGTTTTAGATAGACCAGTCAAACGTGTAAATTGCAGAATTTTGACACAGGGATTCAGCATGGGCAGTTCCATAACATAGGAGTCGTCCCCTGGCACCTAACTCTTATTTTTTCCAATGAGACTGATGTTAGCCATGACATGGTTAATGTGGTCAGCACAGGAATCACCTTCATGCAGGGTAGATATCACTGATCACCACACGTTTCGGAGTGACTAACCACACAGAGCTGCATTCTGCTCACACTCATAGTCTCTGGAATTGACATTTGCCGCCTCAGCTGCCTTCTTCGTGGACTCGTTTACATATCCACAACTGGCATTTTGAGGTAATGCTTGGCGTTGGAAAAATGTGTCAACTGACATCAATGTATTTCTTTCAAGAAGTCGACAATTTGAAAACATGTTAGTGGCCTGTGTGGTGTTGGATGGGATTGGGAGTGTGCTAGGCCCCTCAGTCTGTTCCGTTTCCACCTGCGATAACCTCTAGTGTCCATTTAAAAAAACAATAACTCTGGCATGTTGAGGGAATTAGTGGGTAAATTTGCAAAAATTCGACAAATTTAACCCAGATTTTTGGCTTTTTGGAATGTTGCATATTTTGCATTAAACCTACTTTTGTTGAAATTCTTTAAATTGCTTTCTTTCTGTGGTATCTTGTTGGTGCCAAAATATATATGAATTATCATTCTTTTCCAGACGTAGAGGTTTTGGTTTTTTTCTTTAGTAAATATATTTTATAAAATCTGCTTTTTGTATGTCACAGAATGCGCAAAATTATTCGCGTTCTAATGGCAGTAGCGGCAGCAGTGAAATGCGTGTTTAAGACAGCCGACTGAAGTTCTCCAGTCGTCAATACACTGTGTGGCCTTATGGCAATAAATTCAAGCAGATGCAAGCAGTTTTAATGCGTCATTCAATGGAGACCATTGAAGAACAAATGCTTTGCTACAAACTTCTAAAAGGTAGATCCAATGGGCCAGTTGCCCATTTGTAAAATGTCGTCAGCCGACTTTCTTTCGGGTATTCGTCGACGCGACCCTACATTGGAATTTGGTCTTCTGCGAATTGCCATTATACGTCATCAGCTGCTGGAACGGACATGTTTCGAGGCGTGGTGGCAGCTGTTGATAAAACGCCACCGATGCCGCATTCGCGCCTACCTGAAGGCATGTTGAAGAAATTCAAGGAAGATCCGCGTCCAAATCAAAATGAGGGAGCGTTCTCTAAACGAGATGTTGGTCGAGGCGAGGCAAGTGGTCGCCACGGTGCTCGATCTCGTCGTAATCAGTTGACACAGGGCAGTTGAGATGACGCCACACTCGGTTAAACATTGGTGTCGGCAGTCATAATTTTCTTATTCTCGAAGTCTTGCATGCCCACCAAACTCACGCCAACCTGTGCAAAATGGAGCAGCTGCTAAAGTGGCATTCCATGGTGTAATAACAAGGTTGGTGTAAGCAGAATCTCTGTCGCCCAAGGACAATCCCCTGACACCTTATATGGGTGAGTTTGTTATTGTGTTTGTGGTGGTGGTGGTGGTGATGCTGAAAGATCTCTTTCCTGGTAATTCGGTCAATTGTATGTGCAAAGGAACCTGCAATTTGTACAGCAAATCGTACTCTAAAGTGTTAGTTTTCACTAAATGCGTAAAGCGATTGAAGTTGAGATTCACTCTGGAATGATTCTGTCGTGTTTGGGTGGGCGTTGTAGTGTGCAGGTGAAGGATAGCGTCAGTGAACATTCGTGCAACCTTCAATACAACGAAAACGCCATTAACCACAACAGCACCTTGAAGAATATTCAAAGATAAAATTGTTGACTGATTACTAGACGCACGATTTTCATTGACAAACGAGCCAGATTTTTGACGACATGTTGAAACGCATTGTTTAGCATGCGGTCGTTGCATTTCTCAGTTGGAAAACTGAAAGACATTAAACAGATTGCTTCTTCATATTTGCTTCTAGTAAAAGAGCCAAGTTAATGCGCAGGTGCCACAAACATTAAGCCCCAGACCAGATTTCGCTGTTTCCGTATCAACCGTCATCTCAAATATCATGCTGGCAACTACGACGATGCTGTGCACTGCTTAAATTGCCGAAATACTCCGTGGCGCAGTACAGCTCGTGATGTAAATTCATCCAGACAGTTCCTAGAATGCAAAGTGCATGCAAATGTATTGCGATGCAGATGAAGTATGCACCAGACTATGAATCTTCCACCTACAAAAGAAGTGCCAAGGCAAGCTTCCAGACAGTGACGTTACAACTGATGAGGCAGCTACGAAAACAACCTTTAGTGAACAATTCCTCTTATTATTTTGGTTTTCACCATCAAACGCAAAACGTTTTATGAATCAATGCTTATCTTCTTGTTTTAAATCTCTCCTTTCCTTTATAGCCTGTGCATCCTCGAACACATCAATGGTGCGTGGTAGTAATTACACGGAAAATTAAATCGGCGTTAAAAACAGTTGGAGCAAGTATCGTGAAAGCATCACAGAAGCACATCTGAGGCAGTCCGTTGGATAAACAACGTTCCACAAACTCATTTATTATTAGGCCCACAATGCACATTAGAGTTTTGATCCCAAAGTGTATTTTCGTAAATTGCTTATCGTGGAAATCAATTTCTGCCATGATCTAACTAATTCAAGACTCATAACGGTGTCTGGCAATGTATTTCTACATGCTAAACTCGTGTAGCGCTGCTCACTTAAAGGAGTAAGAATGCACTTGTTCAGCAACACATTTGATCATTCAGTTCACAAGCGTATTGGATAGACACAGACGTCTAGCCAGTTCTTCGCACTTGCTTCAAGGGATGTGCATATACTCCAGGAACCCTTGCTTCAGTCGCCTAACTTGTCATTATCAATAAACAACCCGCGTGCACTTTTCATCATGCGAGAATTCGACGGAATTGCATTTTGCCAAGCCGATTTGCTGGTTCTCGAGCTCTGAGGCGTTGTGGAAATGAGCCGGCAGCATCTGCGTTTCTTCTACCTGTTAATACACTGGCATCGATTGCTTTGTCGCGTTGGACTGTTTATTGTGGTTGCAGATGTTGATTACCTACAAACAAATGTAGATTATCACAAGATATTTTCTGGCATGATAAAAAGCACGTTTGCACTGATTCTGGAATACACTGTGACGTGTTTAGTCAGTGACAGAGTGGCGGAGCAGGTGGTGACTAATTTGACGCTAGTTGTTGATGAGAAAATAAATAACGTATGTTCCGAATTTCGGAAGCTGATAAATATGCTTTGGTCAATCACGGATTGGTGCCGAATCATGTCTATTTGTTCCTTTTTCTAGGATGGTGTCAGAGTCTCTGCGCATGGCCGACTGCAAAGCAATCATGTATATCGACTTGCGCTATATATTTTATTTAGTTAAGTTTGTAAAATAAGGGAAATATTTCATAAATCAGCCAGTCACTTTGAGTGAACGTAGCACTCCCCCTGTTTTCATTTCACCCCATTAAATTGCGATCAACCTCGGACATCGTAGTGGTTCAGTTCTCTGGTAGGATGAAGACACGGGGTAGTGTTATCACCTTGACGTCATGTGCGCGTGGTCGCTTGTTGATAAGCATACACGTCCAGAGATGAGTTGTAAGCTCATCCAAGTTGTCACGAAATTGCAAACATCGAGTTCGAATTCACGTAGTGAAAACAACATGTCAATATTACACGAAATCACTGTAATATGTTAAGATTGGCTGAAAAAAGCGCGCTTTAGATAATGCTTCAATGTAGTTGGTCTCAGTTAAATATTTACCAAATTGCAATCGACGTTGTGGTTTTATATAAGCTGAAATGTGTAAAGCACACGTCACCTAGGCACCTGCTCAGCGACATCTTTGTAAACCAATTGAACTGTAATTGTGGCAAAATGAAACATCTGACCAATGGTCAGGAAGAATGCCATCAACAGGATCACGTGTTCTTAGCAAGCCTGTTGATTGTATTACCTCATATCATCTGATCCCTGACCGACAATAGATGTAAAGTGTACGCTGAAACAAGTTTAACTGGAGTTAGTGTGTCATCATTTTACAGTCATTTTCTACTTTTGCAAATCAGTAGAAATGCTCTACTTCTCGTTTAAGTTCATTTTAGATGTTTACTTAGAGAAGGTTCTCGACGCAGATCTTCATAACTTTCTGAGGATCTGATAAACTCTGTCGCATTAATGAGGACGATTCGTTTGAAGTGAATCCTTGCAAATTTTGCCGAATGTACAAGAAATTGTCTTTGTCGAATTCCAAAAAAAGTTTCTTTAATTTAGCTATAATGCGTTGATGAAACGGCTGTGTCAGGCTCACAATCAGCTAAACCGCGGTTTGTCTATATCGCATTACTGACTATGAGGCGTTTTTAGTGAATGATTGTCAATTTTGCATTAACGAGTAGAGTAAGTCTGCCTCGCGATTAGTTGAATCGAGTTGTGACTAAATGTTGGTAACACATTTGAGCTCCAAGACTTAAGACAGGACAAATATACCTCAAATATCACAATGCCAAACTGACAGGTGCACTGTTCTTTTTGTTTTACCGATTCTCCTATGGTTGTTGTCGCTGACCTTGTTAGCTATAGTACATTGGGTAGGGATGGCTAGAGAGTAGATTTTAGGTAGTTGGCTGCTGATTCAGTTAGAAAAGTTTTGTGAAATTGAGGAAACAGCATGTGCATGTTAGTCATCTTGCAATCATATCGTCCAAATCAAGATGTTACAATGGCAAAAGGTTTCCTTATTGGTTGCAGATGCACAGCATAAATATCTAAGCAAATCAGGGGTCAACCGATTTTCCAGGATGACTTTATCGAAGCAAATCGATTTCTTTTCTTCTACTGACTAAACAAGATATCTTCGTCCAAAAAAAAACTAACCCTACCAGATTTCAAAGAAAACTTGTTGAACTAATCGGGAGAATTGATGCCTTTTCTGTTCTTACTGTCTACTCATAAAATCCAAAAGGCATCCCGCTTTTGATAATTACTGCCAAATTTTAAAATTATTGTGGGAATGAGTTATTTGGTTTAAGGAAAATGACTCCCGCTACAGACGAATCCAGGACTAAGTGAATTGTGCAATAATGCGAAAACACGTCCAGTTATTTTTTCGTGATTGGTTGGTCAGAATGCGCACACTTCATTGGTCATCAGCCAATACACACGTAATGCTGATTTGATAGCTAGTAATCAATGACATCATAGATGAGAGATGCGAAGTTTATTGGGCCATGGTCAGCCAATATGAAACCCTTTTTAGACATTTCATCTTCTATTACGTAAACAAACAGCATGATAATTCTCTGCATATGTGGGTTACAAAGCATGGTCGCGAAGACGTTAAAGACGATTGAAACTGTACAGATTTGTTCTTCAAAAATTCAACCTAACTTGTCTGTTATTTCTGTAAAAGGTACTGTTAGTTTTCCCTCGGCTTTAAAATGCAGCACAGTAAAATCGAAGCAGCTTACGTACGATGTCAAATCTACGTAAATGTCTTTTCACTTAACGCAATATTTTACCTTAAAAGTAATTCACAGAGGTAATTACCGAGATACTTCACATACACTTACAAAGCAGTGATGCAAGCTTGTGCACGGCTATTATTGGTCAGTCACAAAGCGCAGTGACCTCTAGTTACGAGCACCAAATGCAACTCCTGATACAAGAAAACCATTGCTTAAAATATGATGAATTTAATTGACATCCAATTAACCTAAGTCTTCATGTCTAGGTCACCTCATGAAGTCCTCTATTTGCTGCTTCTGATTAGGTTCAGGAGTTGCTAAACATGCGTAATGTCGGTTGAACACAAATTCCTCCAGAGTGATTTACCAATTCCAGCAGCATTTATTTGATTGGTTCATTATCCGGTATTGTTTGCTGTTAACAGTAACCATCTTAGTTGATCTACGAATACCTTGGAGACAGCTCAGTACACACAAACGCCTTTGTTATTCCCAAAAGTGACACCAGGTTTTTCTTGTAGGTTAATTCAGCAATCTCCTTAGTGCATAAATTCATTGCCAGTGATGGATCATTTGTATTTCGATTGGCTGTGTTATGTAATTTATTTATATTTGCCGAGCACACAGTGACACATGAGACCAAACTTGTAACTGTTTTAGAACAGATTATAATCTGCTTTTGTGGTAGAACCCAGCATGATTGAATTAACAATGTGCTGGCCATCACGAATCGACTACGAAATAGCATTCAATCAGTCATTTGAACTCAGAAAACCAATGAAATGTCAATGCTTGAGCCGTTGTATCAAAACCTCTCT